CACACACACACACACACACACACACACACACATAAACACACACACACACTCAGTCAGTCAGACAGACAGACAGACAGACAGACAGACACACACACACACACACACACAGTCAGTCAGTCAGTCAGACAGACAGACAGACAGACACACACACACACACACACACAAACACACACACACAGTCAGTCAGTCAGACAGACAGACAGACACACACACACACACACACACAATCATACACACAGACACACACTCTCTCTCAAACCATGAATTAATTCATTCATTTTCCTTTTCGGCTTAGTCCCTTTATTAAGCAGGGGTCACCACAACGGAATGAACCGCCAACTTATCCAGCATATGTTTTGCATTTCACACTCGTACACTACAGCCAGTTTAGCTTATTTAATTGGTGGATAATAGCTAGATGAATGGATACAAGGATGGTGTAGGTAGTTGGATGAATAGAACAATGGATGGAAGGATAGATAACAGAACGGATGGACGGATGGACGGACAGACAGATGGATAGATAGAATGATGGATATATGGATGGATGGATAGGAAATAGCTGAATGTATTGATGGATAGAATGATACAATGGATGGATGAATGATGAATAACTAGATGGATGGATGGATGGATGGATGGATGGATGGATGGATGGATGGATGGATGGATGGATGGATGGATGGATGGATGGATGGATGGATGGATGGATGGATGGATGGATGGATGGATGGATGGAAAATAGCTAGCTGGATGGATGGATGGAATGATGGAATGATAGAATGATGGATGGATGGATGGATGGAAGGATGGACGGACGGACAGATGGATAGATAGAATGATGAATAAATGGATGGATGGATAGGAAATAGCTGGATGTATTGATGGATAGAATGATACAAATAGATGGATGAATGATGAATAACTAGATGGATAGATGGATGATGGATAATTGGATGGATGGATGGATGGAAAATAGCTTGCTGGATGGATGGATGGATGGAATGATAGAATGATGGATGGATGGATGGACGGACGGACAGATGGATAGATAGAAT